CCTTGCTCCTAGTAGCGATGCCCTTCGCTCCTAGTAGCGTCCTTGCTTCTAGTAGCGATGCCAGGAGCCCCTAGTAGCTTCTGTTTCCTTTTGGAAATGTCCCGAAAGCATTTGCCAACTTCAACGTCCAACCCTTCTCTGGACACCAGCACAGTGCCCTACAAGAGTGTCCCTGCCAGAGTGTTGTGCAAGAGTCTCCAGATATATCTCCTTGTTATCGTGGAATTAGCACCATTGTGATACAATGATTATCATCACCATCGTCGTTATTTTGTGTCGTCTCCTACTGTGCTTTGGGGCAATGCTGTTCTTTATTTCTTTCACTGTTATTTCTTTGCCAAGGAGGCCTTATTGCAGCTGTCTCCTGAGGCACTTTTTAAAATGCTGTTTTGGCCTTCACATGCCTTCACCAATACCATTTGTAGCTCTAATACCCAAGAATGTTATTGGTGAAATGCTTTACGTTTGGTGCTAGGCTGTGCTCAACGATCTGGCTCGCGCCGAGGGTGCTTTGCGAACACACTTGGTCCGAGCCATGTTTTGCTGATAACGACTGTCTTTGGCACTGCTCGTTTGTTGCCAGTGGCGTCCAACTGGGGGCCCTCACAGCAGCGTAGAGGCACGGGGAGACTTTTTCTTTTGTATTATTATAGTCGCTTCGGCAGAGCACCGCAACTTCCCAATCTTCGCAAGTTTCATTACGCATTGCAAGCCCAGGCTGGTCGAGAATTTCTTATGACACCGGTACCATTTGTCATCACACCTAGCATCCCCGACTACCGCTGTCAACGGCAAGCCTCTCATGTGCTTCACACAGCACACTCTCGGCTCGGCACGTCCCACGACTTTGTCCATCTCAAACGAGTGTGTAGCTGAATAGCAAAAGGTAAGTAGCGATGGCCTCCACCTAGCGAACTCATTGCCAAGTGATGGCTAATTGGATGATTTCGTGTTTCTTGAGAATGTGTTTTGTGCAGTGGCAATTTGGGGTGGTGATAGGCTCACGATGTTGTCGACAACGGGAGTTGTTTGTTCCGGAAGCTTGTCATCGTCGGGGTGTTGACGCGACTCCAGGTGATTGTAGCTCACGGGAACGTGATTCGCTATTTGATTTGTTTGGGACTCAACAACATCCTGAAGAGGCCTACACTTAACTAGGAGCAAGGACGCTACTAGGGGCTCCTGGCATCGCTACTAGGAGCAAGAACACTACTTGCAGCTCCTGGCCTACTGCTAACGGGCTCGTTTGGGCTTCCTTGACCAAAGATCTCAAGGCCGTGCGCTCCAGCTGAGTCCAGATGCATGGTCACGCTTTGCCGTGCCCAACTCAGACTGGCATTCCACGGAGTCTCTTAGACCTGCAGCGAAACCGAATAACACGCGTCCAACTTGTAGGCCTTTTTGTGTGGACGAATTGCACTTGTTGAATTTGCATTCCTATTTGTTGAACGTGCCTCGCCGCAAATCTAATTAGGCTGGGCATGCGACCATCTCCTGGATCGAAGTCCAAAGCGACGGTGCCGCATCTTGGCCCGTTCAAATCAGTTCAATTGTAGACGTAACATCAATTGTAATCAAAGATTTATCACACATACATATTGTATTTTGTTATGAGATGGTTCTGAGGTCAAACTTCGAGAATTTGGAGGCTCGGGCCATTTACCTAGACAATTGCAAACCTATATTTGATAGAAATAAATTAATGAATTAATGATACATATTATATATTATATGGATTAATTATGGTCGATTTTATGAATCTATTTTTATATAAATTAATTGATTTAAATTAAATAATATTAAATATAGATTATATAATTATATTGTCTTTTAAATATATATATATATATAATTATTTATATATATATTTTTTGATGAATTGAAATATTAAATATGTTTTTTTTATAACGAAAATATAATATTTTATATTAATATATGATTTTATTATATATGGATTATTTTATTTTTATATTAATTAATTATTATTATTAATTATTTAATAGAAGGTTGAATATATGTTTCGGCATTGATTAATTTTCGTTTTTATTTTATTGGGATTTATATATAAAATATTAAAAATAATAATAATTTATGTCTTTTTAAATTTATATTAAATTATTTAAACCATCTTAAATTTATAATAATTAATTTAAAAAATTATATTATATTATGTATTATTTATATTAATATAAATTTATTATTACAAATATTCGATAATATTTATTTTATATATTATTATTTTCTAAAAAAATAAATATATATATTAATAAAAGATTAATTTAGGTTTAGAAATAATTAAAAAATATATTTATTCTTAATTAATTGTAAATAAATATTTTTAATTTATAGTTAATTTATTATTTATTAATTATTAAAAATTAAATATTATTAACCAATTATAATATATATAATAAATAAAATAATTAATATTCGTAATCTTATAGCCTTATTTATTTTTTATAGTCTCGATTTCATCGATAATTGTTTTTATAGCTATTTTATTATGCATTTATTTATTTATTTAATAGTAATATACCTTTTTTTTTTTTTTTTTTTTTTTTTCATTTCTTTATATATACATATTTAAACCTATATATATTTTAATATCGTAACACTTATACTTATTTACGTTTGCCGAATTTTTTTTTAAAATCCATCGAATTTTTTTTTGAATTCGTCGATTTTTTTTTTTAAATTCGCCGAGGTATTTTATGAAATTCTTACTTTATTTACGCTTACTTATAGGGAATAAAGAACTTTAATAAAGGGTTTTAAAAGGTTATATAATATATTCGATTCGTGAGTTATTCGATATTATTATGGGATATTCGGTATATATATTTTTTAAAGTCCTTCGGCGAAGAACTTATTTTTTAACGTCCTAAGATTCTGAGGATATGAAATTAATATTTTAATAATTATTTTTATAATATATATTAATTAATTATATTGTATACGTTCCTTTTAAGGTCCGAGATCTCAAAAAGTACATGGTTCAAGCATTACCGAATGGGTACCTTTCAGGTCCTAATTCCTCAGATATTCCGAGGATCCTACTTTTTCAGGTCCTCAACGGGCTCAAAATAGGTCCCAGATAGGCCAACATAGGCCCAAGATAGGCTTCAACATGGGCCCAACATAGGCCCTAGCCCTAGCTAGGCCAACATGGGCCCAAAGCGGGCCAACATAAACATCATAAACCCTAAATGGCCCAACTTAGACCCAAAATGCGCTCAACATCCCAAGACCGCCCCACACAGCCCAAGGATGGGTTCGACCGGGCCCCAAGACCACCCCAACAACAACCACAACGACAACGACAACAAGCACAATAATGGCAACAACAACAATAATTATCACTCCTTTCACTTTCTCTGCTCTTCCCCCTTCTCCTGTTTTGGGCCCCTGGCCGGCTGTCGGGCGTAAGCCCTTAAATCCATCGAATTCCTGAATTCCTTTATTTTTTATTCTTACAAGGTCCTTTTTGACATTAAAGGAATATTCCTCTTGAAATTGTTTGCGAGGTGAAAGAGCCGCTTTTCAGCTCGTGATGAATTTGCTCAAAAGAAATCCACCACCACATCACCTGAACTCCATGAGGTGCACTGACCGAAGACATCTAAGTGGACACGATCCTCGCCTCCACTGGAAGCTGAAGGACCTACCACAGTACTACAGTTATTACATGTTATTACAGTCCCACACACTTCAAAAGCATCAACCCATTGCAAAATAAAATGACGCTAATCGCTATTAGGTTGGAGGCCATCGCTACTAGAGGGATGCCATCGCTATTAGGTTGGAGGCCATTGCACTCAGGTTCCAAGATGAATTGTCATTGTGCCTCCAAGTGCGATTCGCCTTCGCTTTGGCTGGTTCTCAGGAAGTGGACCGAAGATCATCCTCACTGTTGACATATTCCAGTGAGATACTGGAATCTGTTTGGTTGAAGAGCAAAATCCAAGGAGCAAGGACGCTATACTAGGGGCTCCTGGCCTTCCTACTAGGAGCAAGGACGCTATTAGTAACAGGTGCATTTCTATTAGTAACAAGAAGCTACTAGGAACAATGCATCGCTACTAGTAACAAGTGCCTTACTATTAGTAACAAGAAGCTTTTAATTTAGTTTCATTTTAATTCTAATAGCTTTTTGTTACTAGTAGTAAGGCACTTGTTACTACTAGCGTGGCACTTGTTACTACAAGGAACAAGTTTGAGATCAACTTTCTGAGCCACAAGCTTCTTCTCGCTGTTCCCTTCCTGAAAAACAGGCAAATTCGGAGAGAGTAGACTCTGATCAGCACAGGCAAAAGAGCGTATATAGACAGTTCAGCTGCACAGACCTTTATTGCAGAATGAAGAGGTCAACCGGAAGGATGACTTAAAGCTAAAGCAGCATCATGTTTCTTAATGTTCACTGTACATGCAACGTCCCCCCATTCAGTCAGGAACAAAAGGTGAAACGACAAAGACATCTTACCGCGTGATGTGCTGACTGTACTTTGAACGGACACACAAACAAAGCAACTTTTCCTCTCAACCGCCTTCAACATTTACAATTGGCAGATATGTTGCATCATATATAAGAACTACACTTTTTGCAACCACATCCCGCAAAGTTTGCCACCTTGCCATGACCGAAGGGCTCAACCGGAAGGCCCCCAGCCTGTGACTGGGAAGAGCCAGCATCGGAGTCCGAAGCCTCCTCCTCCTCTGGAGCAGCTTTCAAAAGCCTTGGTTGCTCGGTACTGCGATGCTATTGAGCAACGACATGTAACGACTTGTGCGCCAACTGCTCTTTGACTGATCAAGGAAGTCTATGAGCAACTCAAGTTCACAACTGCGTCAGGAGGCTGAGCAGGCTGTCGCACGCGGCCTAACTCATCCCAAGTTACCATTAAACAAAACTCATGATGCATTCTGAGTGGTGAATGCCAAGTCTTCTCGACTTTAGCTTGTCAAGAACAAAGAAAAAGAAAACACAACAGAATCGGAGGGAAAGAGAACTGGACAACGAGAAAAACAAGAAACAATACATGCAATTAAAAATCTTGGCAAAACAAAACATATTCGAACATGTTGCCCCCAAGACTTGGCCCAAGGCCTTTAGCACCTTCAGGTTGAAGGTCGTCCATGTCTGTGTAACCTGACTCTCGCAGTTCATGTCTGATGCCCTTTGTTACTAGTAGCTTCTTGTTCCTAGTAGTACGACTAGGAGCCCATAGTAGCGTCCTTGCTCCTAGTAGCGATGCCAGGAGCCCCTAATAGCTTCTTGTTCCTAATAGCGATGCCCTTTGCTCCTAGTAACTGTGCATCTTTCATAAGTTAGATGAACGACCTGGTGCACTGCGCTGATGAAAGGCAGTGCTGCCTCGAAGCACTGTTTGGTCCTGCCAGAATGGCTGGGGCGCTTGCTTTAGCAAAATCCTCCAACCTGTTCAACAACTGCACATACATACCTGTACTGCCTGTACTAGAATCATTAAAGAAACAATGTTTTGCTATGTGTTGCTTCAGAACATCTCACATCCTGAAGTGACAATACCGATTTGACAGTTTTGCATCGAAATCACGCAATCCGTGAAAGCAGGGTTCGAAACAGACTCATTATGTTTCGATTTCAGCATTGCAGCTTAACGCACGGTCCGTAATCGGAGGACCGAGACTATGTATGGTCATCTCTAAGAAGCAGAACATGAGTGGAAGTAGGTCTTAGAGACATACAAGCCAGCTTTTCAATGAATACAAGCGAAGTTACCAGACAATTGATTCTAGCATTTCTAGCGGTTCTGTAGCTTCTTCCGTCTATGATGTCCGTTCGCCTGTCTCCTATCAAACTCTTCTCCTGGGAGCCACGAAGGATCTGCTGCCGCAGCATCTCTGCCCGGGACTTCGCACCCAGCCGCTTGTCATTGATGTGCCTCCCGCGTGCACACCTAACTCCTAAGGCTCGCACCAATTCGCTACAAAGCTCGCAATCAAAGCACTACGGATGACGGCTTGCTCTTTTGTCCTTCACAGATCACCCTTTTTGAGGATTTCTTCCTCTGATTGTCTCCATCATCGCTTTTCGAGAGTAGAAACAAAGGGAAATCTGGCAGTGACCATTTCTGGTGGCATCTTTGGCCTGCTATCTTTGGCCCCCTACAGGGCACACTGCCATCACGATGGCAGTTTTGCTTTTGCCATGCTTCTTTTGAACCTTCGGTGTATCCCACACGTTGGGTGTAAAGCGTTGTGAACCCTTTGCACAACCTGATAAACCTGTTGAGCTAGTCATTGAAATCATTGGCTCCAAAATCATGGTGCGGATTCTTGAATGCGCCCAACCTGTCAGGGGAATGACACGAGAGTGAATTTGAGTCAAGTTACTTTTCAGCTTTTGAATACAAGACACATGTTGCCTTTTCCAAAGCTCCCAAGCGCCACTCGGTTTGCGCAGCAAGAACCTGGCAAATACGAGACATACTTAAGCACAGAGCGATTTGCCTCAGGCCGTCAGATTCAAAGTTGTTTTGCAACTTTAATTTTGACAACGACTTTGTACCCCCGTCATGTCGTGACTTGCTTCATCTTGTTTCACTTCATTCCTGGCGTTCAAGAAACAAACGCCGAGGTCAAAGCAATTGGACCACCGAATTAGCATGGGTCACAATCCTTGTGATCGGATTGCTCAAACTGACCTTGCGGAATAGCCATATCTGGAATCTTGTTCACGACAATCTACAGGACGACCAGGCTTTCAATTAGGTCAATTCTATATTGATTAAACCCAGTTTTGCTGGAGATTGTCTGCTACAAAGTGCTCTCTTTCTTGACTCAATTACACTTTGCAAGACCTCCCATTCTTGTGTATCTAGAGATAATGTAACAATGTACTCTGAAAGGCTCAACCAAATTCAGGTCTAAAAACACAAGAAAAGGAATAAGAAAGCTACTACAGTAATTAGTAACAAAGGGCATCGCTACTGGAACAAGAAGCTACGAACGTAGCTGGCCTAGGATGCTAGTAACGGTCTCCGAACACGCAACCGATGGAGACGGAGCCCTCAGGACCTGTAGGTCACTTCTGAGGCCGACAATGCTTTGGTTGAAGTCATCCAGCTGCGCTTTGATATGCCTTCCCCTGCAAATCATCTCGAAGGACTTCAAATGCATTCGCACATGCAGGCACTCCATTCCATAATTTGGAGGAGATTAGGCCATTTGTTCCGTGTCTGAGCCTTTTTCAGGTTTAATTAGCAACCAAACAACTTCAAAACCAATTTCGCATGTATGTAATTGTGTCGGAATTAAAGCTATTGCGCTGAATGACTGACCCAAAGCGTCGTTGCACGTTCATGTGTTCTTCCGCATCGTCAACCCGAAGCCAGGCTACTCCAAGAGCTTCGGCAAAGGCTCCTGTGAAAATGGACAGCTGAGGCCAAACTAAAGTCAATCTCGTAAGATTGGGCTGTCTCAAAATATCGCGTATGCAATAATATTGGACCTTGCAAACACAATCGCAAAAGCTAAGTACTGAACAACCATCGGATGCATCGCCTCAAAAAATGGTGGTCGACTCTCTTCTTCACGTTTCTGCAAGCTTGTAGACCTGAGGGTGGCGGTCGTGAACATGTCAAGCGTGTTGCCATGGTGTCCTCGTGTCCTCCTCTGACATCTGAGAACAGGGCGGATTCATGACCACCTTCGCCATACTTACCTGTCAGTGAACAAAGCTCTTGTTCGGAGGGTATGGCAGTGTGACTGTAAGATGTCTGAAATCTGGAGTGAGCTAGCAAGGCTCGCCTCATGCTCGTGCAGGACCTTTGCAAAATCTTCGAGTTGCCTCAGCTGTTTGTTTCTTGGTGCCTTGATGGATGGGGGCACGCTTCGAGACCTCGCGGGAGGCCGTTGCTATTGGAAAGGTCGGCTTCGAACGCTGCTCGAATACGAGACGAACATGTTGAAACTTCATTGCTGCGAACGGAGCGATCGGACGCGACTCGAATGGGGCGACCCTGGCATCGCGACTCGAACGGAGCAAGAAGAGTGTGCATGGGATTTCCCTCAAAAGAAGCAGGTCATGCAGCAGCTGCAGGTCCAGGTCACGCTGTCGTTGCAGCCCTCTCTGCTTCCAGGTACTCCTCAATCTGCGGAACCTCCACGTTGAATGATAGAAGCTGTTATGCTAAAGAACTCATTCAATCGCATCGCAAGACCGATCGAGCTTCTGTTTGGCAAATTATACTATTATACTGCAATAGTTTGCACAGAAAACTCTGATCCTTCCGTCCGTGCTTGACTGTTCGTTTCACCGGCTTTGAGGGTCTGCTGCAGTTCGGCATCCAGCTTTGCCAGGCGGGCCTGCAAAGTTGCTACAAGACCAATCCTCTTGAAAGGGACGTTTGACAAAGTCGAGAAACGGTTTATAGATGATAAGCAACGCGACATAAGCTAGGTATATGACCGCAAACCTATAGACGCTATACAAACCGTGAAAACATGTGAAAGCTTTCGCTTCTATTTGTACTTGTCAAACGTCTTATCGATGTAGGAAAAAAATCGGAAACACCTCCACGGTGCTCAAGGAGGATGGCGCGGGACTGGAGGCCTCGCTGAAACGGCTGATCGATCAGCGAGGTGTCGAACCATTCGTCCAAGCATTCAGAATGGAGAAGCCGACCTCCCCCTACTAGCGATGGCCTCCAACCTAGTAGCGTCCTTACTCCTAGTAGCGATGCCCTTTGTTTTTTAGTAGCTTCTTGCTCCTAGTAGTAAGGCCAGGAGCCCCTAGTAGCGTCCTTGCTTCTACTAGTGATGGCCTCCAACCTAATAGCAATGTGACACGGGAAAGGATAAGTGTTTCGATTAAAACAAGTCTTTCCAGTCGATGGTCACCAAGTCCTAGAATGAGGGGGCCTGTGTGGATGGCGGGTCAGAACGAGTTGCAGCACGCAACTTTGGGGCCTGTGGAGCACCTTGAGGCCTAGTGGTCGGAGGCCTCAAGTTCCAGAAATTCAAC